AAATAACTTCTGTATCTCTATATCTTGGGCGTAATATTCTTTCTTGAAAAAATATATGTAAGGAGCTCAAATTTTCTACAGATGAACCTTAGCCTCAGTTATTAAATGATAGGTGTTGACAGTCTTCATATTCCCCTCGGTAAAGCCCCTAGCTATCACCGCGTGCTAATCCGCGTACCGACTAGCGATTACTAATTGACGATGTCGTCTAAAATGATTGTGTCGTTTTGTTGTCCATCAGGTAGCAAATGTTTGTTTGTTTGTTTTATTTGAACCAGAGACATTACATCTCATAGGTATACAAAATATGTACATAAATATTTATACATAAGCTTTGCACAGGATAAGTGTAGTATATGCTATACAATATACATTACATGTGGCAATTACATAAACAATAGCATTTAATGTATTATCACTTCTTATTGTACACTATTTAAAACATCATTTCTTAATTGATAAGAAAAATACAGAAATTTACCTAGGTTACATAGTTCTTTAGTATTTGTGGAACTCAGTAACTGTACTAATTTAAAAACTGATGGTTTTTTAAAATAATAACTCTTGATATATTTAATTCTTAGTTCTTCATATCGAGGACATTTTAATACAAAGTGAAATTCGTCCTCTATCTCATCTGATATACATATTTCACATTTTCTATCTTTTCTTTCTATGTTACAATACCTTCCCCTCTCTATCTTTAAATCATGCGCTGATAGTCTTAAACGACTAATAGGTATTCTATACTTTGAATGTAATGGTTTTCTTAAATACGTCTGTAGTACAACATTATCCACTACATGTTGATATAAAAAATATTTAGGAGAATTACAAATTCTTGCCATAATATCTTGTTTATAACCGTCATACATTCTTTGAAATACGATGTTCAAAGAATTATTATCAATACAATTGCTATTATACATGTCAGTTAAACCAAGCCTTTGAAATTCCTTCTTAATGTTTACAATCCATTCATCATTATTTTCCACCATATCTTGATAACATGATTGTAAAATACAATTATCACTGTTTTTTAATTTCACCCAATATTTCAAAATTTTCTTTTTCCTTTCTAGTATAAGTGGAAGTCTACCTAATTCACAATAAACTGCATCATTACTGGTGCTTTGTCTGACTTTTAAAACTCTTTTACAATAAGTTAAATGAACATTTTCTATATCTTGACCCTTGTGAAATCCCCATACTTCAGCTCCATAACTCATTACACTGTTAATATAGGTATCGAATACTGCTAATTGTGTTTCTACGTTAAAATGCAAATCCCTGGTTTTACTATTTACGCCATACATAGCTTTTTTACCCTGACATGAAAAATGTTTCTGTGTTTCAGCAAATTTGCCATTATAATTGAACAACATTCCTAGGTAATTAAATTGATTTACAACTTCAACAATGCAACCGTTGTATATCCAACGTTCATTTTCAAGGATCTTACGACTATTGCGAAAAATTAATATTTTTGTTTTTTCAACATTTACAGTTAAATTCCACTCCGTGGTGTATGTATACAATGCATCCAACATTCTTTGTAAACCATCAGCAGAGTCAGATATTAAAACAGTATCATCTGCATACATCAGTAAAAATATATTTATCATCTGCAGTTCAATTGATGGACAATTATTTGTAATAAAGTGACGTTCAAAGTCATTCAAATACATAGAAAATAACAATGGTGATAAAATTTCTCCTTGTAAGACACCAGACGTAATTTTAAAATACTCTGTAAGTAAGCCATTATATTTTACACATGCCTTGATATTATCATATAAAGACTTAATAATACAAAGTAATTTCCCTTGAATACCCTGAGAACTAATTTTAAGCCACAAGTTAAGTCTATTGATATAATCGAAGGCTTTTTGATAATCCACAAAACAACAATAAAGTTTCCTTTTGTTCCTTAAAAATTTGTTAACTAGCGTCTGTAGTACAAATATTGCATCAATGGTACTTGCACCTGGCTTGAATCCAAATTGTGCATCTGTAATTATGTTATATTCTTTGTCCCAATGCATTAGTCTATTATTCAATATGCTTGTAAATAATTTGGCCATGCAACTAACAAGTGTGATTCCTCTATAATTATTAGGATTATTTGTATCCCCTTTCTTAAATACTGGCACTATACACCCAGTAGACCAGCTCTCTGGATAATGGCCTGATGTAAATATTTTGTTAAATAACATGCATAAAATAGGCATAAGTATTTGTTTACAATGTATAAAGAATTCGTTAATCATGCAATCTTCTGCGTTACTTTTATCATGCTTTAATTTATCAATAGCATATTCGATTTCCTGTTCCGTGATTTCCTGATCTAATTCACAGTATACTGATGGTTGTGTCTCTATGTGATTAAATTCATTATTCCTACTGCTTTCTGTATTACCTTCAAGCAAGTTTTTGAAATGTTCTAAGAAATTATTAGCAGATAAATCTGAACTTGTTTGCCCTTTCTTACGTTCAAACAATTTGTAAAATTTCTTAGAATTGTACTTCCGGATATACTCGATTTTATTACCTTGATGTCTCTCATAACTGTGTTTACATTTTTTCATAATTTTTTTGTATGCCGATTTTTTATTAAGTAATAGCAATCTATTATCAGTAGATTTCTGTTTATTAAAATGGTTTAGAGCTGTTTTATATTCTAAGTACTTTGACTTACACTCTTCATTAAACCATGGTTTATCTTCGGTTTGTAATGAATTAATATTTCTATTCACAGAAATAGAGCTATTACTCTGTATAATTTTACAGTATGGTAGTATTAAATCACATAAAGTTTTACTAAAATTTTCTACACATTGATTTACTTCTTCTGTGCTATCAAACGAATGAAACAGACAATTAGAAAGCAAGTCATAGTTATTACTGAGAGTAGTATTTATCTGTGTTACATTTTCTTCTACCCATTTTACTGATTTAAAGACCGTTCTACCTGACTGCTCTTGATCACAAACAACATCACTTTCTTTGTATGACCCATTTAGAGAAAAAATAATTGGTGCGTGGTCTGAAAAAACAGTAAAATCTCCTAAAGTAAAATCTACAATATTACTAGCGTTTTCACTATTTGTTATTAGGTAATCAATGGTACTCATACCATTTGCACCATAAAAAGTGATACCCCCATGTAGATCATTTTTATGTCTTCCATTAATAATTCGCATGTCAGTGGTTTTACACAAGTCTGTCAGTTTTCTACCAAAATTATTCACAAAACTATCAATATTATTTCTTGTAGACTCGTTTGTATCTAGATCGTAATCAGTAAAAACTTGCATAGTATCTGATACCGATTTATTTATCATATCGTTCCTTATAAAATCATCTAAATTACCACATCTAGCATTTAAGTCCCCAGTTAAATAAACCTTTCCCTTGCCAGAAAATCTGCAAATTGTTTCTTCTAAATACTGAAAAATATCTACATCTTCCTTTTTATAGAAGGTACTTTTTTCTGGTGGTATGTAGCAAGAAGCTAGATAAATAGGCTTTTCATTTACATTTGACCCCTTTATAATTTCTAGCCAGATAACAGTATTGCAAAAACATTCTACGATATTAACATTAATACTAGGCATGTTTCTATAAAAAATGACAATTCCCCCCCCTCTTCCACAATTTCTAGGAAAAGTGTAACAATTGTACTTATCTAAATATATACATGATTCATCACCTGCACAGATCCAGCATTCCAAAAGAACTATAATATCATATTTATTTACAATATTTACAAACTCTTTATCTTTCAGCTTTTGTCTAATACCTTTATTTACATTCCACACTATAAAAGAAAGGTTAGATGTGAAGTCACTGACCTTTCTGTCTCTACAATGTTGTTCAGTCACAGGATTGATGCGGCCGCAATCAAGATGAAGAACATCACGCTGATTGGCTGTAGCGGCCACGCACTCCTATCTGAAACCCATTGCAGTGCCCTGCGTTGAAGTGTAGCTATGGTAATTATTTGTGTTTGTATCGTAGTCCATAGGATCATTCGTTTCCCATTCTTCTTCCTCTGAATAGCTATGATTGTCCGGGTCATACTGCAGACCGTTCACAAATAACTTATCGCGCACCAGTTTGACATGCGACCCCTCGCTACGCAGTTGACGCATGATTGGTATGAGCTCCCGTCGACGTTTTTCCATGGTCGCTGGGTATTGTCTATGTACTCCAAAGGATGTTCCCCGTAGCCAGCTTGATCGTTCCAGAACCATGTCAAGATCTTCTTGATACAGAAAGCGAGCAACAATTGGTCGGGTTTTCCCTTTAGAGAAACGTCCGAAGCGATGTACATTACTAAATTCTACGTGATGCGTAACCTCCAGCTCGTTGTAGAGAAATTGACGCAGCTTTTCCTGTGTATTTTCATTCTTTCTCTCTCCTCCCAAACCACTGAACACCAAGTTCATTTTCATTGACCTAAACTGCAAATCTGTTATTGTTTCTTGCATTTGGATTTTATCTCGTCTTAACTGGTCCATATTTTTCGCCATGCCCTCTATCATCTTTGAATGTCTTGAAAGCTCCGTATCAGCACATTTGATCTTGTTTTGTACTGTTCGTACCTGGCCTTGGACTGTTTCCGTATCGAGCTTAGTTTGTTGGGTAGTTTGTTTTATGGAGGACACCGCAACTGTCATTTCTGCTGTATTTTTCCTACTTGTTGATTCTTTGCAAAAAGTAAATAGATAAGGCATAGAATTTATTCTCTGTTTGGTCGATCTGTACATTGCTGTTAAGAAAAATTGAGACATGATTTTAATTTCGTGTGTATTTTATGATGAATTCTGTCTTAGGAAGCATCTTTAAATAACCATTGAATTAGAGCTCTCGATCAAACAGAATTCCAGGGTGGTGAGAGGTTGAAGGCCATGTTCTAAAACTTCACTCAGACCAACCGAACTTTTGTTGTGACAGAAAACGTAACAGCAGTTTGGAACCACAGTGATGGATCGTGAAGACTAGAGTTATAGTGATTACCCGAAATTTTCAAATTTGTACAAGATGTATAAAACATATAAAAGCAATATGAATGATGAACCAACAGCTTTGGTGTTTTTCGTCAACGGGAAAAGGGTAAGTACTAATCTGGTCAGCAGAAATAATAATTCATTCTTTTAGTTACATAAAAAAAAAATCAAAGCATTTTCTGCGTGAATAAAAACTTCCCGGGTGCTTGCAATTGCCTTTTTTACGTGTTCGGTTAAAACAAAAGTTACATCATTTCTTCAGAAAGTTAGATCGATTTTTGTGAAAAGGGTCATCTTTTAGAACAGTTTAAAGACATGTGTGAAGATGCAATGTTTATTTGATATTTCATAATTACAGTAAATGGATTTCTACACTTCTACAGCGCCATTAAAAAACTCAAAGTGATAAATTGCTCTTACTCTTGCATTTTTTACCACTTAGTTAATTATAAATTCAAATCAAAGCACTTTAAAGGTATACTTGCAGCAAGGGAAGAAAATTCTCAATCATAGATTACTAGAAAAATTATTTTTCTCTCATTTTTAACGTGTGTAATTTTCCTACAACACTTGCAAACAGCATTCACAATCTAAATAAGTGCTTCTCAAATTGCCTTGTTTAAATATAAAAGTTCCTCATCAAACCCCCTGTAGACTATGGTGAGAGTATTGGCCATTAACAATGAAGTCTGTAGGGCCTCACAATATGAACAGTAAAGGCTGCCCTAGATCAATTAAACAGTAATAGACCGACCACAGGTAAATATGTCAGGCCACTATATTTAAATTTAAACTGTGAACTAAAATGATGTTTGGTCACTAATGTACTGTATCGCTGATACAACACATTAAACACGGGACAGCACATTAAACGAGAGGGGGGGGGGGGGGGGTTCTTTTTGAACAATTTGGCCTTCATATTGTATTTCTTTGAAAAAAAGGTGATGAAAATGAGTTGATTTTTCAAGAAATCAATAATTCGACTTGCACTTTCAATACAGCATGCACGAGTAATCTTGGTTATCACTGATTTTATAAATAACTTATTGACCAGTGGTAACCCTGTAATGACAGTACCCGTTACAGGTCAAAATATCTTATCAGCTGAAACCAGTGTTTATCTTTAAACAATCTGTAAATGATCTCGCACAGATTTGTTATAGTTTTGGGGGATTGATAATCTTATTCTAACCCTACAGTTTTCTATTCACAGAGACTTTGGAAAAAAAGCAAAAAAGAAAAAAAAAACAAACAAACAAAAGAACGAACAAAAACAAAATAAAACAAAAAAGTTCCTTCTGCAATAGATAATTTTATTACATGTTTCAGGTTTCAATTGAAAATCCGGATCCCAAAGTGACGCTGATACAATACCTTAGACGAAATCGTATCCTTGACAGAGTAAAAACATTGAAATTCACAAGAGAAGGGGCTTAAGTGTTTGTTGTTTAGTGTTTTTAATTCACCACAGACCGCGATCGGTTGAAAGATGATGTATTTAGTGTATGTTGTATTCTTTTATCTGTTAGAATATGCTGTTTAAAATTATGACTGAAACAGCTGATATTGACAGTTTTTAAAATATCGTATTTCTATGTACATTTAAAAGAATGTACAGGGGCGACATTTGCCGTCTTGGACTTCTGGAGTTGATCTCGATTTACACTGTATTTTAATTAATAACTACACTTTTCACATTCATTCAATCATTTTGAAGCAATGGATACAGTGTATTAAAGGTACAGATTTTGAATAAAATCTAATTTGAATCGAGCTCCTCCCAAAAATCCAAGCATTTATTTTCCCTTTACTTTTTTCCATAGCATTTTAAAACTTCTAATATCAAGGTTTTTAGCTTTTATTTTAGTGAGCATATTCTAACAGACATGAGAGAACACACAAAACATAAAGTATACCATCCTGAAACCAAGCCCCGGCGGATTTTTTCTTTCAGCTTATTTCATATGCTTACCCGTTTTATCATTTCCCATACTACGTGCCATACTATGTACAAAAACTTTATTTCCAAATCACACTAGACACCGGTTGCCTACAGCTATTTAGGCAATTTTCTTGCTATTCAAATAAATTCAAGTGACTTCATATTTCATTATTGAAGTTTCTTGCTAAAACTTGAATAACTTTTGATGGCACTGTATTCAAGCTTTTTTGGCGACCGTGTTTAGTATATTTATTTAGCGGGGCTCTTATGGAATTGCGCACCTAATAACAAAAAATGTATGTACCACGTGACTTTCAAACAAATTAGATAGAAAGTCACGTGGAATATGGGATATAAAATAGTGTTTTCTCCTTTTCGTAGAGGAGCTTTATAAGAGAAGCAAGAATTAATTTGGTGATGGGTTGGATCCGGCTAAAGATATATATTTACATTTCATTTTTTCTGTCCTCAAGAACAGTTCACAGTATATGTCAAGAAATACACTCATTTTCGTTGAGCAAAGAGCTATCATTGAGATTTGAAGGAGCATCCAATGAAAGAGTTAGATGCAGCACTATTTTTGTAAATTTTCATCATGATATCGGTATACCACACTATAACTTGAAATGAAAGAGATGAAGATAACGAACAGTGATCGAGCTCAATAAATCTACAAATAATACATTTCTTTGATGAGGGCATAAAACACCTGGAAATTCCAGAGGTGGGATCAGGTGCCTAGGAAAAGTAAGCATCCTCTGTTGACCGGTCACACCCGCCGTGAGCCCTATGTATTGATCAGGTAGACGGAACATTCTTAGTCAAATTCAGTATAAAAAGAAAGGCTTAACAATTGGAGTGAATCAAGTCAGCCAAAAAAGACCCAATGATAAGTTATATATGCTAACAAGGTCATTAAAACGACCATAAAATTTACGAAATGCTGACTATAAACGAGGTTGTTGAAATCCCTGTAACATCAACTTACTAGTATCTGTTAGTAGCCTGCCTCGGTTTAAAATTGACCGTACTCATAGCATAAACTTGAATATCGAATAAGTTGGGAGATGTGAAATACCATATTCAGGTGACAGCGGGATATTACCACATAAATAAGGGAAGTTGACGATGAAAAAGTTGAAGTCACCTCATTTGTCATTCAAATTAGTTGTTAGTTGGTCCTTATAGTCTATAGTCAGTAAAACATCCAATTATAAACACCGATGTGGCAGACTCTGTGGTGTCTTATTTCAAGTTCTCTGGGATATATGGAATCGACATATGAATGAAAGTATATATTATTATTTGATAATACATCGTCAATACGAGTATATCTAAATGTCGAGTTGAAGGCCACAGCAAGTGTTTTCTTCTCGTGTAGAAGTTTTTGATCTGAATAAATCATGCTTCATAGGAATATAAAAACAGGTCGTCTAATAAATGAGCACAATTGGTGCCCATCAAAATTCCAACAGTTTGTTGGCAGATCTGTCTCTTAAGACTATAAATAAGAAAAAATAAAGAAAATAAGAATGATTTTTGACTAAGTAATTTTGTTGATGACCAAAACCAAGACATGAAAATTTCCGAGTTCCATTTTTATTGAAGAAGCAGTTATCTATGATATCAAAAAGTCTAGTTTTTAATTTATCGTGAGGAATGGTTGTATAAAGTGTAGAAAAGTTTGGCAATTTTAAATTTTCTAAAAGTTCTTTAGTGTTTTTGAGAATCCACATCTGATTTACACCACTTTTAGAATATGCTGTAGCACAGTACGTCTGAAGTTTCTCCTTAACAGCAGTTAATATTTTTGTAAGGAGTAAGGATAGGGGCTTAGTAGAGCATTTGCTTGACCCTGTAATCTATCTCTGTTTGTATGGATTCTTATGAAGTCTAGGAATCCAATATAGGTAGGGTAGATCAAACTCACCTTGGTTGACTGGAATGTAAAAAGTTTTAAATACTGAAATGTGATTTTGAAGAATTTCATCTTTAGAAAGTGAACTGTGAGTATAAGATGGATTTTCAAAAAGTAGAATTATAATGAAATTCTTCTAAGAAATGTCGACGGATTTTCCCGTTATTTCCCGATCATGACAAGGAGCACACGGCGGTTGTGACCGGTCGGCAGGTTATGCTCAATCCTCCATGGCACCTGATCCCATCTCTTATGTTTTAGAGGTCCGTGTTTGTTCTGCTCCTGATTTGTATTGTTAAATGGACTTTTGAGCCTGAATACTGTTCCTTATCTCCATATATTCCACACAGTTATAATAATAATAATGATAAAATAATGAGCCTTGCAAACAAAGATGATATTGTTACAGACCATAACATACTGTTTATGTAGTCTTTCTAACTCTTTGATCACAAAGAGGGATAAATCTAGTATTTATTGTGAGATTGCTAAGGTATAGAGAAGCTAAGCCTTAGTTGAGCGCCCAAAGTTACATTTTGTTTTGCATATGTGATATGATCTGAGATATGGTATAAACATTTAAAGCAGAAAGTACATCCATAGATCATAAAACTCGAGGAATATTACATGTAAGTTATTCTAAATAATAAATGAATCTCAAATAAGTTTCCTGTACAAAGTCTGTTCTATGTTGAAGTCTTGTAAATGTGTTGAAAATGTAAAAATCTTTCAGACTGTTTTTAAAATATATATACATACATACACTTACAAGCAGGAAAACTCACTGAAACACACAAAAAATAATTATGCCCTTGACCTTTGACTTAGTATATTTGACTGGGACGAAGGAGGCGTGCAGTCAAGGAGCATGTGGGGCGTGCACAGTCATGTTGTCCTATTACAACCATCACCAGAAGAAAATTATGTATCCTTTGTATACAAAAAATAGTGTTTTAAAGAAACTGTGCTAGTATAAGTTGACAATGTCCATTCACCATTCCTGAATAGAGTTAATTTTAACAACCTTTTATTTTAAAAATTACTTTTGTGACATTTATTTGGGATTACATTTGATGTACATGTAATTATATTCGCTAAAGAGCTTAAGTGATCTCAAAATTAAAAGGTATGATTAGTTTCTGTTGAAAAGTCTAAAGTTCTATTGCATAGGATGGAGAAATTAAATCAAGACTTTTAAGAAAATACCATTTGATTTTTGCATCAAATTCTAGAAAAGAGTTCAATGTTTTTATATCCTTTCTTCTACTTTTACACTTTTAACAATGCCTTATTTCCTTGAATTCTAGAACGATTCATGTAATGTAAAGATTTTTATCAAAACATATATGAATATGCATAGATCGACTTATGTTGCCTTAATACTATTACGTCATTACTCTGGGAACGCCTGTTTGACCTTGCTTTGCTCCCTACATGGAATGTCTGTCACTACAGTGGAGGGGGTCGGCAGCACCAGGAATGGTCTTCATCCGATCCAGGTATGTCTGAAAGAAACATTACACATATCACTCTTCACATACTATTCTTCACATACCATTCTAACGCTGTCTACATACTAGTATACCATAGTTATACTGACCATATACCATTGTAAAACTTCAAATACAATTGTAACACATCACCATGTCTTCTTAAGCCTTACAGTCAGATTTCCCGGCCGGTGGCCGTAGACCGATGGTAATCGGTGGTGTGAGCGATACCCCAACATCAGTCCTCATCGGTCAAGTAGTCCTTAACATCTTTCACAGCAACAGGCATACCCCGCCGATGATCGCACGGAGAGTGACTCCAGAGGGAATCATTATTGACCGGCGTGGCACCAATTACCGGCCGGACATCGACTGGACATAGGATAGTTTTCACCGATCATCCTTCAATGCTCGGCCGGTGACGCTCATACATTGGTAAACATCGTTCGTACATCGTTTAACTATGGGCCAGTGTTTGGTCGAACATCGACCGATGAACGGCCGATGTCTGTTGCCCCACCACTCACCCCCGATGACCTCAGATTCAACGGACACTGGACGATGGTCGACCATACATCGGCCGATCCTTGAAAGATGTGTTTATGATGGGTTGCCGATTAGGAGCTATGGGGCATCGGTGGAGACATCGCTGATTTTTAACTACAACTTATTTTCTCCCGATGACCCCCACCGATTCGCACGATGGCCTCAGTCACGGTCGGATTACTATGGGTGTCTGGCCGGCAACCAAGCCATTTTTATAAAAAAAAAAAACGCATCGGTTGCCCATCGTATACCCCATCGCTTGATAATATGACTGATACTTAAACATTATAAGTATCATGTGAACACTGTCCACATACTGCTGTTATACTGTTCACATTCAATTGTATCACCGTACATATATCATTTTAATAATGTCTATATGCTTTTATTAAGCACTATCCAAATAACCAATGTACATGTTACACTCTCTTTATGGCATTGTTATCCTTGAACCATGTAATAGTGTAATTCATCATGCTTGAAACGCTACACTTTTCATTTTAGCACTATCCACGTACTGTTCTTACAATGTCTTCATATCATTGTGCTTTTTTTCCCGTCGTTCCACAATCTCATCAAGGTTTTTTCACAATTTTCTTTCAGAGAAATATGATGGAGAACCATGGTATACAGTGTGGTTTTTGTACCCCCGGTATGGTGATGACTATGTATACACTATTCAGGAACAACCCCGAGCCTAGCCAGGCGAACATGGAGAGAGCACTAGAAGGTAAAGACTCCCAATGAGTCAAATAAATTAGAATTACAACCATTTTCTCTTTGCTGAAATTTCTATACTTGTGGTGTTTATGAACAATTCATGAATTGTCAAATAAATAAGAATTACATCCATTTTGTCTTTGCTGAAAATTCTATACTTGTGGTGCATAAATGAACAATTCTTGAATTATGTATTTTGTATTTATTTAGGCAATCTCTGTCGTTGCACTGGATATCGCCCAATTTTGGAGGCATTCAAGAAGGTAACTTCAAATTTTGTTTTGAATGGGGGATGTAGAATAGATTCTTTGAAATGTAATTTGATAAATAATATATTAATACATCAATTTTTGTCTTAAAATTCTTTTCACATTCAATGTATCCAGCATATTAACATGTTAAATGTTGCCGGGCTCAATATTCCAGAGTTGTCCTTGTGGTCTTGGTCTTTGCCAACAGAGTGCGGAGGAAAAGAAAGAAATTGAAGATAAAAAGGTACTTATATTTAAACAAAAATGACTCTCAGTTTCAACTGCTATCAAAGTACATGTTTGCTTTTAACATTTAATTTATTCAATCTATTTGTTTATTTTATGTTCTGTTTTATTTTGTTATTTGTTATCGTGTTGATTGTCTGTAATTTTTTTTTCGGCAGTACCATACTTATACAACAAATATTAATGAAAGCAACCTTTGTTCCTATAAAATGAAACCACTAGTATTCATTTGTTATATAGTTGTCATCTAGATGTGTATTTTATTAAGTTGCTAATTTTATTTCTTAAATAATTATGAAAAAAAATTGTTTGTCTTTTCTATTTGTAGACAGATGAGAAACCTACCCCTGACAAGTATGATACGACACAAGACGTTATATTTCCAAGCGAGTTACAAGTAAATATCGTGCTTTTATACAGGGCAATATTTGTAATTAATATTCACATACTTTGAAATATTTTCACTTAAAATCTTTGTACAAGCTGTATCCCAGAGTAAACCATTGTAATATGAACCTTTTGTTTGTAAAATTGTATGTTTAGTATATAAGTAAAAGAACTGAAGCATTTCGTAGGTCGTAAGGTCATTATTTGAACATCCATTGTTGAACTATATTTCATTGTCATATTCAGAAATCTTTAGAATTCAGTCAGAAGGATGCAATGTTCGTTGGTGGTGGCTATAAGTGGCTAAGACCTGTATCATTAAACAAACTGTTGGATCTGAGGACAAAATTTCCAAATTCCACAATTATTATGGGATCACAAACAGCAATAGGTTGGTTACTCACTACGTTTATTCTCTACTATTTTATTGTCACAGGGCATATATTCTAATATTTAATTCTCAATGACTCAGTCCTTTCTACATGAAAAAATAGATTAAAATTTGACAATACTGTTATTTCTTAGTTTATTTATTTTTTCTAAAGGATTATTCACAATATACTGACTTACTATAATTGACTTATTTTTTGGAGAATTATATTTTATACTCTTCGTGATAAGAGGTCTATAGATTTTTAAGCACTTTCTGCAGGATTATGCCATCAATTTCTTTGAGTGTTTTATCTGTTCCTTTAAGGGTCGAAAATTCGAAATAATACTTTACCATCACCGGAAATTATCTGCTGTACTCAGGTCTTGGAACTGAGGAGAATTGTAGAGGAAAAGAATGGAATAACTGTGGGGTCAGCTGTTACATTCGCACAAATGGAAGAATATCTGAGAGGAAATCTAAAGGAAACGAAAGGTATAAAAGTCTTTTTAAAAAACATAATTAAAAAGAAAAACAGATATAATCTATCAAAAATTTAAAAAATCAAACATATATTTAGCAATTAAGTCAAATACTGTAAAATCACATATTTTCTTGGGGTCATATTTTCCTGGTTTGAGGAAAAAATATTGGTTATTGGCGATTTAATTTCGAATGAATTAAGACAACGAAAATTAAACCCCCACGAAAATTAGTGATTTCACTGTATAAACGAATAATAAATCCTTTCATAATACAATGTAGATGATTCTAAAAGTGGGGATGGCAAGTGTCTGTTACATGTATATGACCATGTATTCATACACTATTTTTCATTTGTCATTCAGACAGAGAATGTAACGTTGCTTCAGCATTGTTAGAGGGACTCCGATGGATAGGAGCGGATCAGCTGAGAAATGTGGCGGTAATCTATCATACGATTGATTATTCTTCTTCTCTCTGACATTAAAAGGAAAAGTCAATTAATATGTCCTACTGCTGTTAAAAAATAATACAATGCAAAAAAAATGACAACTAACTGTAAATTACATTTTTGCAATCTGGCGAGATTGTCTGGAGACTGAAGTCACGTTTTCTTCCCTTAGAAGAAAGAACTCTTATTATTACATAACCAGCGAATAAATACTATGCTTTCGTTCGTTTCCTTTTGCAGTGGTGGAGACATGCAAAATAAAGACGATTTACAGAATATAGTTTCGAACATATTTTACTGTTGATAAATGTTGAAACAATATAGTGTTTACTATGTTTATTTTAGACCATTGGAGGTCACTTGATGAGTGTTGGACAACACGATCTTCAGACATTCATGCTGACTGTTGGCGCAGAACTTAACTTCATTTCTCCCAAAAGTACAGAATCTCATTATATACAAGAATTCGGGGGGGGGGGGATGACTCTGTATCTAACCACATTTTGATTTATCTAGCTTAAACTGAATGAGAATTTCTTATCAGATGATTTATGAAAATTGATGTCGTTATTATTTGAATATCCACTAATTAATATAAATTAATGTTCGTTTATTGAATCGATTAGTCAAATCAAAGAGAGTTGCTTATGAGAAGTTTATGACTAATGGAGTTCACGCACCTGATCCAAGCGATATTCTGATCTCTGTGTATATTCCACTAAACAAACAAGTAAGAGGTCTACAACACATTGCATATCAAAAAAGATCAAAGGAATAAATAATAAAGTAATATAGCAAGTTTATATTTAAAAATGTTCTGGTCAAACTTAAATGTACATTTCTCACAAAATCGCTATCTTATTACAGAACGAGTACATGATGTTCACTAAACAACCATCTCGCCGAGGCATGGACTGGGCTGTAGTAAATTCTGGAATGTATTTGAGAGTGAATGACAAGAAAGATATCGAAGCTCTGAGATTCTGTGTGGGAAATATTGAGAATAAACCGTGTATTATAGAACAAGTATCAAACATTGCAAAAGGGAGGTAATACATATTGCTTATTTTGGTACACAAGCAGATACACAAGTCATACAAAGTCGTTTTACTGTTGTTTATCTTAGATATTAATAGCAGGTGCGACGGCGTTTTATATAAACGAATCAAATACGAAGTTCCTTGAAAAGCTTATACAATTTTAGACGAGATCATATTCAATTAGCATTTTATATACATGTACTGGAAATTACTAATTAGGAAATTGAATTTCATAATAATTTTGTCAGATCATTGGATGAGAAGTTGATACCAGATGCCTGTGATGTGATTATTGATCAGCTGAAAGGATGCAAAGCAGATTCTTTAAAATACAAAATTTCTTTGGCCTGTGGTTTCTTCTATAAATTGTACAAACAGATTTCGGAAACAATTAAGGTACTATTAGAGTAGATACTTACATAAGAAATGTTTATTAATTAAATTAAGTCAGTGACAAAAAAAATGCAGTAAAACTTCTTTATAAGGAACTCGAATACAAGAAAAAAATCGATAATAGAAAATTGTATCTTTTTACCAATCCCTCATTTGAAACTCCTTATTTATATCGATACAAAGAATTTCGGTTTGAAGGAACTAAAGATTCATGTCCCAGGACATTGTTATTAGCATGCCTTACTGTAATAACCACTATAGTGTTTCAAAGCATCAATTTTGAAGTTAATATGTATCTGTTTTTAAAGCCAACGAATGGAAAAACTGACTTTGGTCTGACACCATCCCTTTCCTCTGGTGCACAATACTATGATGTACCCAATCCAGAGGCAAAAGAAATTGTCTGGAAGCCCATACCCCATGCAGCTGGAAAAAGTCTGGCTTCTGGGGAAGCAATTTTCATAGACGATATACCGCAGTACGCAAGTACGCCTTGACTTTTTCTTTTAAAAAGAAGATAATTATAATTGAGAGAGTAGTGAATGAGACTACTCTTTCCAAGTAGATTTTGAATTTAAAATAATTTGATGACGACAACATTGAAAATGTGACAACATTGAAAATGTAATTTATGTATCTTAAGCGGATTACACATAACGTATGTAATTCCTATTTATGGGTTATATTCCTTATCTCTCTATAATCTGATGTTGTAGTTTCCTGATGATGTTTTCAACTCATTAGCAATAAAATTTCAGTTCAGAATAGTTTTCTTTATTTATAAGTAGCAAGGATACATTTATCTTTAAGCCTAAGTCATTTAAAAATGCGATATGGGGTTAAATTGTTTTCCGTATTGTTTAGATGAGTTATCTATGTGGTTTGTAACCAGCACCAAAGCCCACGCCAAAATCGTCTCCATCGATACTTCGGCAGCTTTGGCTATGCCTGGAGTAGTTGATTATGTTGACAGCAGGGATATTCCAGGAAGCAAAACATTTGGACCTTTGGTTCATGACATCCCTTTATTTGCTGATAAAGAGGTAAGACCCAACAATGACTTTATATTATTTTCACGAAGCAATGTTGGGGTTTTTGTGATAACCCCATCCAATATTATATCTAGCTCCTTTAACATGTTTATGAAGTTGTTTCAAAGAAATGAGAAATGTATACTTTTTCGGACTTTTATAATGAATACATCGATGTTGTCAGAATGTTGACAACTATATTTATTGCAAAGAATTCCAAAGTGCTCATCACGATAAGGTAAACTATATCATGGATTATAAGGAAAAATGATTTTTTCTGTGTTCGATAGGTTTCTTACCACGGACAACCTATAGGTGGAGTAATAGCAGAGACAAGAGAAATCGCAAGAGCGGCAGCAAAATTAGTGAAAGTGGAATATGAGAATCTGCCAACTGTATTTACAATCGATGTAAAGATCTTTGCTGATATTGTTCAAAGAATGTTAGAGCACAAATACACACATCAGATAGGAAAAGAAAAACAATATAAGTTAAATTCTGAGAAGTGAGGAAGCTTTTCATTTTATTGTAGGAGGCCATAGAGAAAAAGAGCATGATAGAATATGTGGCCAATCATACGAACGGTGATGTAGAAAAAGGCTTGAAAGAAGCTGAAATGACTTTGGAAGGTGTTATTGAAACTGGGGCACAAGAGCATATGTATTTGGAACCCATAGCAGCACTAGTGGTGCCGAAAATTGAAGACAAAGAAATTGAGGTCTTCATAAACACGCAAGAGGCCAATGGTGTTCAGGTACTGCAAAGAGAGACCACCTTTATATTATTTTGTTTTGTACCAAAAAGATATTTTAAATCAAGTATATTTAGAGTGATGTAAGTACATGCCCATTACGTTTGAACATTGCAGGCAGATGTGGGTCAGTTTTTGGGTATACCGTACAACAGAGTTAACGTGCGAGTGAAAAGAATTGGTAGGCAGATTTGGACATCTAAATCAAAGAACCTCGGTGTTCAATTCTGATTATACCTCATCTTCTTATCAAAGTTGTATTTCATAATTACATATGAATTGGTTGAGCAAAATCCATAAGGGAATATAGTTCAATTTCTTTTTAAATGGAGAGGATAATGTTAGTAAAATCTGTGTTTTCCAGGTGGGTCATTCGGTGGTAAGGCTTTGGATACTATCACTGCTAGCGGAGTGGCTGCTGTGGCGGCATGGAAGTAAGTGTTATCGTGTGGTTTCTTTTAAGCTGATCGTAAATATGTATTTAATAGCAGGTCAGATATATTTATCAATAAATGAGTGATTGAAATAAATGCAAGTAATGGAAGACAAAACATAAATTATTAGAATAACAGTATAATGATAAAATTTATATTCGACCTTTTTATACTTTACAAAAAATGATGTTCGTTATTTGAAAAGAAAAAATACTAAATACTAAACAGTGGATATAAGTATAGTGAAAAGGGAAGGCCACTAAATAAGAAAAACGATAAAAGATGTATAACTGTTAACGTAGAGTGAATCGACCAGTTCGTCTGATCTACACTCGGACCCATGACGTCAAGACTACCTGTAAAAGGCATCCAACCAAGACTTTCTACAAGGTGATGTAATTATAAACTCTTTTTGCCTGTACTCCAGATCAATGTTTTCATATTAAATTCATTCTGAAGGCAATTTTTACAGAATCCACAACTTTTTTCTCAAACTTTTATTTTAGGCTGGTTTTAGCAAGGATGGTAGAGTGACTGCTCTCTCCGTTGACCTGTATGTTAATGCAGGTTGGAACAATGGAATCAGTATGTTTGTAAGTATATCCAAACCAAAAAAAATCACATACTTCATTATGCTTCACAATTTTGTGCTAGTAGGCGCTGTGTTATATTGTTCATCAAAAGCCCATGGCAATTCTCTTGGAGGTTAAGAGAATATACAGCTTTTGATGAATATTGTTCTGCTATATACTTTTGAATACAAATTGAAGGTGATATCGATTTTATTGTAGAAAAGTTTACAAATGTCACCAAAAAGGCACGAGTAATACATGTATTTCAAAGATTTTGTGTGAGCTAATACTCTTGCTGAGCATGGTCTTCAACACATAGCAAACTATAGTTTTAGGAATTGCCTCTTTCATATGTATTTTTAAGTATGAGTAAGGAATGTGAACAATGTCTTTCTCATAATTTCAACATTCAGGTATTGGAACTTGGCATGGTAGCAATGGAGTCTACTTTTGACATCCCTAACTACAAGGGAACTGGAAGAGTTTGCCTGACCAATTTACCATCTAATGGGGCCTTCCGAGGATTTGGGGCGCCTCAAGGAACCTTCATCATACAGAGCATTATGTATGATATTGCTAAACAAATTGGAGTACCAAACGACAAGGTGAGGTGATAAGAGACTTTATAAGTAATATGTTGAGTATCAAAGATATAATAAATACATATTTCATATTTATTTCGAGTTTTGTATGTGTACTTAAACGTAATAAAAATTTAAGTATAAAATGAGTAAATTAATCCAAGGAGAGTTTACAAAGACTTGTAATGGGTAGAGAAAATGAGCAAATATTCAGGTATCGTTTGAAGGATAGTTTTCCTTTCACTCATAATATCGTTTCTCATGTAAATTAAGCAATTGTTTTGAATTACAGAAGAGGAATTCATTTACTTGTTTGCTTTAATTTTCGTTGAAGCTTAGAGAAATGAACACATACAAAGAGGGAGACAAGAACATCCATGGAATGGTTCTCAAAGACTTCAATCTGCCCGTTTGCTGGGAGGACTGTAAAAAGCAAATCAAATTTGATGAAATCTCAAAAGAAATTGATGAATTTAATAGGTCAGTATTTTATGTACTCTAGCTGTATATTTAACTCTTGTGCTGTAAATTTGGTAACATAATCATCTTGTTCATTTTTACCGTGTTTTAAAGTTGATGAATCATTTATGCTTTTCTTCTTAATTTACCTTTAATGATGATTATAGTAAAAACAAGTACAGGAAAAGGGGCATCGCCATGTCATCCGCTGTCATGAGCATCGGATACCCAATGGTATTCATGTGTCAGGTAATCATATACTAATGTACTATATTCCTATTTCCTTAAATAATTTTACACCAGCATTGTCTTAATCAACTATTCCATTTTTTGTTATTTAAGTATATTTAGTTTCAAAATCCTTATATTAGGCAGGGGCTTTGGTTAATATTTACACTGACGGATCTGTATTGGTTTCACATGGAGGAATAGAGCTCGGACAGGGACTGTTCACCAAGATGATCCAGGTAGCTAAGATAAGTTAAAAAATATTTAAAAAACAGAAATATAATTTTTAAATCAATTCTTTAAGCATGAATGCATTTATCTCTTTAGGTGGCTGCCACTGTCCTAGAAATCCCAGTAGAAAAGGTTTACATAAGCGAGACTAACACTGTGACTGTCCCCAACGCTACAGAAACGGGAGGGAGTTTTGTGACGGACCTCAACGGAGGAGCTGTCATGGCAAGCACCTGTTCTATATTTAACTTATATCTTCAAATCAATCAATATCTCGATAACTTCTAGAAGTAAAATATTATTGGTTAATATCTATCTAATAGGTATTCAGTATCTCCATTTCCCTTCTAGGAATCATTCTGTGGAATATATATGCTTATCTAGTGTGTGTGTGTGTGTGTGTGTGTGTGTGTGTGTGTGTGTGAGTAATTGAAGACTAATTCAAATATAAGTATGACTTCTCTTTTTCATTAATGAAGAATGCATGCCAGATCTTAAAGGACAGACTGCAGCCATTGAGAGACACCATGCCAGAAGCATCATGGGAACAACTGGTACGATTTACAGAGACCACATCACGAAATGAAAAAGTTGTTGACAATCAATATTCACCTGTATCCCTTTCTTTAATTCCAGATACAAGCTGCATATTTCAGCAGAATAAGCCTCTCTGCTTCTGGTTTCTATAAGTGAGTTGGTCAAAGGAAAATAATACTACAACCCCTTATAAGAAAATTCTATATAAACCTTTACGTATATCTTTTATATATCCTTTGAAATCCTGAAAATCAAACTATTCATCCACAAAACTAGAGTTACCCTAAAGAATGTAGAATTCTTTTTTCATATCAGATCTCGTGGGGAAGGATATGACTTTCAAAAACAAGGAGAAGGGCAATATTGCCTTTATAATTCCTATGGGGCTGCATGCACAGTGGTAGAGATAGACTGTTTAACAGGAGAACATCAGGTTGATACTCATTTATTCAAGAATCCTCAGACTTCCTACGAAAATTCTACAATATTTCATGTTTTTCCTCTCTTTCAACGGCTTGTGAATCAGGGTCAAAATAATATAAGCAGTTTTTAAAATGATACCGTGACAGTGTCTTAAATTAATGTTAGTTCAAGGAATACATGTATTTATAAAGGCTTTTTGTGTTCTTCAACACCAATATAAAATAATGTTTAGTTTATTTCGATTTCAACATGTATAATGAAGTGGCTAAATAATAGCCTGCAGCAATTTCAGTTCTTAAAGAAAGACAATGGAATTTATCATATTCATTATAACTGCTAGATACTACGCGCTGACATAGTATTTGATGTTGGCAAGAGTCTTAATCCTGCTATTGACGTCGGACAAATTGAGGGAGGATATGTACAGGTAATGAACATTTACTTCAATTGCCAATAATGACTGGACTGTGTGATTTCTGCCCCTCAAAAAAAAATTTTTTTTATTATAAATTATGTGTAAACTTTAATATTTTGTCTAAACTAGGGCACTGGGTTGATGACACTAGAAAAAGTGATGTTCGATAAAGATTCGGGAGAAGTGACGTCATATGGCCCCGGTAATTATAAGGTACCAGGCATCAGAAACATCCCAAAGGAGTTCAACGTCACACTACTGAAAGAAGCCAGGGGTGACAACAGACCACTGTATTCGTCGAAGGTAAAAAAATAAAAAAAAATCTAAAAATGTGTCCATTTTTCAGATAATAACAAAATGTGTGCATACCACATCTGTATGTAAAAGCAGAAATATTTGTTGGGGATTATTTTTTTATTCCGTTGTTAACAATTATCAATGAAATTAAATCTTAGTCAATGAAATTAAATCGCAAACGAAATTTTTATATGGCCATCTATTAAATATGGCTACTTTTGAAACAACGAAATTTAATCCCCACGAAACCATTTTTAAATGACAAATCAACAAAATTATATCCAAACGAAAAGTTCTGCTTCTATAGTAATTAACCTCTCCAAGTTCATGATAAATGTACGTAGGAGCATTCCGAAATTATATTTTATCTTGACATTTTATGTGACGTGTACTCTTCTAAAATGTTGAAAGCAAAAGATGTTTTCCACATTACCGTGATATTGATTGGCAGTTTTAAAGCTTACCTCTTGTAGAAGCTCATCAAGTATAATGCAACAGGTTACAACAATAAAATGTATTGCCTCGCCAGGGTATCGGTGAACCTCCCCTGTTGTTAGCTGCTGGCGTGCACCTGGCCCTCAGGGAAGCTGTGAGTGCCGCACGTAAAGACCAGGGTCTTACAAACAACTATAGACTAGAGTGCCCGGCCACACCCGAGAAAATCCGAATGGGTTGTGCTGGACCTATGGTGAAAAAGGTACGGTGAATACAGTAACTTCCAAGACTATTATTAGTGATACGATTTATTAGACTTAAAGATTTGATTAAAATAAATAGCTTTTTTTAAACTTATAATCATTGTAAAAAAAATGTTTTACTGAGGATGAGGAGCTTGATATAGTCATTTGTTACATGTACCACGATAAATGTGCATGCCTATCAGAATTTCATAGTGGATATTATTTTTTTTACACAATCAAAAAAGTTTACTTTTTTCCATGAGTAAAATTACCACAATGCATTTTAAAAGGAAAAAACGGTAATAGATTTCATCATAAGAAAAAAATATGCTATTTTGGGTTCAGAAACATATTGTGTGAACACAAACAATGCACGTGTCTGTGAAATTCTCCAGTTTTATGTTTGCATGGATTATTTATGTGTGTATATGTTGCAAGAATATTTTAGAATTGACTGCCCTCACTGGTATAAATCTTATTGTCTTATCGTATCGCTTGGAATTTTGTTTTATTTTGAAATAGAAATAAGGATTTTTTTTTAGTTTTAAATACCTTTTTTCTTTGTATCCTCGTAGTCATAAAATACATTGTATTTCATTTCAGTTGGATTCCATCATAGAAAACAATCAGAATATCCTATTTTGAAGACCTGATGTGTATTATAAAGACTCGGGTTAAATTAGTCTGAGTAGATGTTATATAATCTGGTGCTTCAACTTAAAACTTTTGCATCGTCTCTTTTGCTTCTGATATTTTGATAAATTAGTTTCCTATGTGAAAAATGAAAATAATTTAATATTCGATATTGAATGTTAGGTCCATGACTAGTAAGGCCATGTTTAAGAACAGTAGTAGTACATGTATATTTGATATTTGTGGGTTGTTTTTTTTTTGTTTTGTTTTTTTTTTTTGTTTTTGTTTAGTGAACAAAGTGACAATGAATCATCAACGTATCGATTTTAGCTATTTAAAGCGTTATAATGATTAAATCCTTTTAATGAGGCAAGCATTGTGGCATGTAAATGTGCTTTGTATGAATTACTAAATCGTAAAATATTTATCATTCTTATACCTAGTTTTATCTGTATGCATTTTGCTATTTTTCATATGAATGTGACTTTTAAGTTTTCATTGAATTTTTATTTTTTCGATGGACAAATCTTATGGATATTATTTTTTTTATCAAGCAAGTAGAAGCCATGACGAACAAAAAGTGTGCAATATAAGAAGGGCCATCAGAACAAAATTAACATTTACCAGCGAAAAGTCAAAGTCAAATACCTACAGCAGAATATTAAAAAACAAACACAGCATCGTACAAATTCTGTAGTGTATCAAAGATGTAATTTCAAATGCATTGATCATAACATGATACGTCATTATAATTAATGATAACCTATTTGACTGACGCCATGAATTTTTGGAATTTAAATCATATCATTGCTAATTTCGATACATGTATTGTGTCATGTAAATAAATATATAATCTAGAGCTATGCTAGCTGTTTTTGGTTATTTTTTATTGATTGAATAGCACTAACCATGATTTAAAAGACCATTAATAGAATAAAAGCGTTAAAGTTGACCCCATACACGAAATGGTATAATTTTGTATATTTATTTATATTGCAAAATAAATACATCCTACAGCTTTGCCAACTGTTGGTTTCGTTATTTTTCGTTGATATCTTACCTACCTGTTATAACTTGGATCTTTGTGTGCATCATGAATTTTCAGCTTGTATTACAAATGGGCCATGACTTCTTTACAATAGGCTTTATGTTTTTTCCGTCACTAAAAACACAGACGAGAATAATTGAGGTACTTCTTTGAAATCAAGTTTCTCTGTTGTTTCTTATTTCATGTTGTAGTGTGTCCAAATTTAATTAAATACTTGAATAAACTCTTTTTTTTCATTAAACTTATTCTAGGATTCTAATATCCAAAATTTAATGGATTTCTTTATTCAGATAACAGGGAGAAAGATGGGCCAATAAGAAAATTCATCGTAAGAGAATTCTATGTACCTTCCTGAAATGAAAAAAGAGATTTTTATAAAATATATGGACAACTAGGTTGTTTTTCAGATACATGATTTTAAAACTTTGCAGTGGGCTCATACTGGAATTAAGCTATAATTTTAAAATATGAAAACATCCAATTATGACCAGATACGAAAATAAATAAAAAATCAAAGATAAATGAAACAAGATGAAATTCCCATAGTCGGTATTATGAAAAAGAACTACTCTATACGTATGTGTCCAGTGCGCAAACAAGATCGTCGTTTAGTTAATGAAAAAAGTGAAAACAACAAAAAGTGACCAATCTCATAAATTTTATTAACAGTAAAAATCTGTTAACAAGATAAAAGCATGGATCCCTGGAAACATCAATGCTGTGCATCCCTTGTCGACCATTCACATCCCGTGCCGACCAGTCACATTCCTTGTCGACTGGTCACATCCCTTATCGACCAGTCACATCCCTTGTCGACCAGTCACATCCATTTTGAGTCGTCTGTATTGAATGATCAGGTAAATGGATGAAACTAAAGTCAAACCAATTGGCAGATTGGTATGAAACATGTCAATCAAAATAAAACCTAATGGTAGGTCGCATTTGCAAACAAGGTCATTTTAAAACCATAGTATTTGCGAAATCTTAACCTTAAACGAAACTATTGAAATCCGAGCAACTTATTTGTCAAAGGCCTGTCTTGGATTAAAAACTGATCATACTCAGAACATGTTCTTGTTGGGAGATATAAGTGACAGTGGATTATTACTACATATAAAGGGGAATTTGACGATGGAAAAGCGGAAGATCATTGTTGTCGGGGAACATCGTGGATTTGGTAGGTAGGCCTTACCCACAAATTTTATATCCCCACGAACAATTACTTTATCAACATACAGGTCCATTGAAGCTTCTGTATATACGAGCTACCCACGAAATTACATTCCCACGAACTAGTGAATATTTTGTTTCCAGCAAACATTGACCCCAACGAATACAGATGATTCCATAGTTTAATTGTTAGTCTGCGTTAGTCTGTCTTCAGTCAATCAAACATGAAAAAAATATGACAGTTCAACTTTGGTTTCTTTTATTTTGAAGATTCATTGAGTCAATATGAATAAAATATCTACACGTATATCATTATTTGATACAATGGCTCAATGTACGTGACTGTATTAAAAAAGAATTGAAGCAACAACAGGAGTTTTCTTCTCGTGTAGAATTCTGCTTGTTAAGAAAACAAAGAAAAAAAAAGAAATGGCCTCCACAGACAACAAAGGTATTGTCATTGAGGAACTCCAACATCCCTTTTATATTAACTTCAGAGTACTTTCGTGTAGAGTTATAGTGATTTTTTTTTTACAATTTGAAAGTTTACCATGAATATCACTTCATAAGTGTTATCAATATGACTAACATGGCCCTCCTGCTCTTGATAAAAATAATTTTAGATTTTTTTCTCTCTCTCTCAGATATATGCTTTATGTAAAATAATGCCGTCGAATTTAGTTTTACCCTTAACCCTTGGTCCATAATTTAAAAAAAAAATGAATCCACACAACTTAAGAATATTTATATTTTAATATGATTAACTGATTTTTTTTTCTTTTAAGGAGGCTGGGGGGTCAACAAATTAACCACCAGATTCAGGGGTTCAAAATTCCTCAAGCCCGACGTCCCGGACTAACAAATTCCGGATCCGGACTCGGCATTTTGAACCGCCAAAAGTCCTGGGACTTGGCAATGTTTCTTGTTTATCTTTTATTTAAGTTAAGAAAAAAGTTCGTAAAACTAAAAATAAAGCAAATTCTCAAATGTATTGAATAAAAATGTGAATTTTTTGGCGTTAATATACCCACAAAACATTACGAGCGTCTCAAAAATACAATCCGTCTTTTTATGTTCCGTTGCGGTTAGACACCTGCTTTTACGCAATTTCTCATGTTTCCTCCCATATGACATGAGTTTGTTAAATTTTGGTTTTACCAGTAAAGGAACGAGAAATAAAAGACCCCGTGAGGAACATGAAGCTGGGGATCAAGATAACAATTCCAAAGACGGAACCTATGACAAGAAGAGAGTTCGCGAATTCCAAAGCCACTGGCGTGATGATAGGCCGTGGCTTGATTACAATGACGATACGAAAACGATGTTTTGTTCATTTTGTCAAAGTTTTCCGATTACGGCGGACAAGTCAAATGCATTGACTAGAGGAACAACAAACCTGAGAATCGAACCGATTAAGGAAATTAAGGAGGAAAAATAAAACATATATTCATACATATAGTCTTTATTCATTCAATGCAACAAATGAAAATAAATTATAACATAAATTAATGATGATTTAAGTAAATATAATTTTATCTATCATGAAAATATGGACTCAGAAATTTCTTCCTCGGACTTGCCTAAAATTTACTCTTTAAGTCCTGGACTTGACCTTGATAAAAAAAATTTTGAACCCCTGATTTAACTTAATTTTTTTAGATATGATATCTTAAGCTGTCAACTATCATTTGGCAAAGAAAAATTTCAAAAATTTTAGTTTTAAAATTTGATCATTTTCTATATCTTCATATGGAGCTCTTCTTCTAAAGGAGATCAATATAGTCTAAAAATGGCCACAACCCCCCAGCCTCTTTAATTTCCATGAAAAAGTTAGCCTATTGTCACCCCCAAAATAGCCACAAGAGGCTATGATGAATTCATTTTGAATTGAATTTACACATGTGGAGCGCATCAATATAACTAAGCTAGTCTTGTTGTTCTTGAGAAAAAAAAATTAGCATATTTTTTTTTTTTTTTTTTTTTTTTTTTTTTTGCCTATTTACAATTGCTTTATGTAAAATATGATCCCCGAGTTTACTCCCAATTTAGATCTAGGGTTCATAATTTTAAAAAAAATATTGATTCCACACAACTTAAGAATATTAATTTTGTATATTAATAAATATATGATCTACTGTGGCCCTGCTTCTCTTGACCTTTTTTGAAAATTATTTC